GGGGTCTCTTCACTCCTCTTCAAATTTGTGTCCAAATAGGAACAGATGAAGCAAGTTTCCCTCTAACATATAAGTTCTTACACTGTGCACACATCTTCCCGGTCTTGATCATGGCGTATTTGTTTGGTAACTTAGAATTTACAGGGGGCTGGCATGCACTGGATTTCATTTGCATTCAACAGAAGCAATACTTAAGAAAAATAGTTTTCAAATATCTAAGTAGCATCTGCCTTTTTCTTTTTCTTTTTTTTTTTTTAGGCATTTTCTGCATTGGATAAAGAGGACACTGGGTTTGTAAAGGCTTCGGATTTTGGACAAGTTCTTAAGGATTTCTGTTACAAACTAACAGACAACCAGTATCACTGTTTTTTGAGAAAACTGAGAATTCATCTAACCCCCTATATAAATTGGAAATATTTTCTCCAGAGCTTCAGCTGTTTCCTTGAAAAGGTAAGGCTGGCTGCAGCACAGAAGCATCTCTTTTTGAAAGGGGGCTAAAATTAGTTTTTGCAAAAATAGATAGTTGATTAAAACCACATCAGATAAATTAGCACTTACCTCATGCAATCAGCTCATTCTAAATGAAAAATTGGCATAAATTCTACATAGAGCATGAGAAAGTAAATATGTACATTTTACTTCACTTGTAATTTATTTTATTTTCAAAGAAGTTTGGGAGTTTGCTTTTATCTGGTTGGTATAAAGTTCTCAGGAACCTTAGAGCCCTGAAAATGACCTGGTATCCAGAGAGGAGAGGCCCACTATGCATCAGGCCCTGAGCCAGCGGCCGTGGAGGAACTGGGATCCACTCGGGCCGTTTGCTGAGGACCCACTATGTGCCGGGCCCTGGCCCATGTAGCGGTCAAGCCTGGGGTAGAGGTAACTATGGAGAGAGTGGGCTTAAACCGAGGCGTGCTCAGCGGGACCCAGGCGAAGTCAGGGAGGGCTTCCCAGAGGAGGGAGTGTGGCCGACCACAGGGCCACCTCTCTGGCTGCACAGGCTGCATATTCTTAGGTTGTTTTTTGATCTCCTAATGTAAATGGGCCAACATCATTAGCAACCATTACAATCTAGTTTCAACCAACACGGGTTTCTTTGATCACCATTCTGTGCCGAGTGAAAATGGACACACAAGTGCCTGGCCCCTGTCTTCACAGAAGAATGGATGAAACACACACGGGACGCATGCAGCCGCTAAATCCCCGCAGACTTCGCTGGAATATATTTCATGGTCATTTCCAACTGCCCGCTGTTACATGTAACAAACACCTAAGTTCGTAAATCCCTCTTCACAGATATCCAGGACAGATTCTTGGACATGCGATTACTGGAGCAAATAACATGGAGGTTTCTAAGGTTTGAGGGTCCTTCTGATAATAATAACCACAGCAAACACTATTTAGCGCTTTCTCGGGGCCAGACACTCTTATTCGTCCTTCATATAAACTCATGTGATCCTTTTGATATCGCTACAAAGTACACGCCATTAACGCCCCATTGTATAGATGAGGACAGTGGGGCGCGGTGACATTAAGTAATTTGTCCACAGTTACCCGACAGAGAGTAGCAGAGCTGGTTTGTGAACCGAGGAAGTCTCGCCCCCAACCCCAGACCCCTAAACACGGGGCCAGGGGTGGGGACTGTGGGCTTTTCATCTTTGTCATTGAGATGGCGATTCCTAAACAATATGTACTGTGGTGTTGCAAGTTTTAAAATTTTATATACACAGAGGGTGCCAAAAAAATGTATACATATTTTAAGAAAAGAAAAAACTGTATTAAAATTATGCTGAGTGGTAACCACTTTGAGCACCTCTTGTAACTGCAGACGTCAAACGTGACTTGTAGTCATCTTTTGTTATTAGTATATATTGAGCATTACAATTTTAATACAGTATTTTTTTCCCTTCTTAAAATGTGTATACATTTTGGTGGCACCCTCTGTATATGGTAGTATATCGAATTTTGTCTTCCGCGCGTATTTTTTCTTGCTTAGTGTCATGGGTTTAAGATTTATCCATGTTATTACATTGGCTTTAGCTCATTCACTTAAGCTGCTATAAAATCAGTCTATTAAATGAATGTCGTCAATTGAATGAACACAGCCCTGTTTAGACAGCCCCATCATCCTGTTAATGTATGTTCTGTGTAGCCTCCTCCATTACAAATGAAGCACCAGCCAACCTCTGCACGCACATGGGGTACCCTGCGTGAAACTGCTGGGCGGGAGGGCGGGCGCAGGCCCCACTTCCCAGATGCTGCCACTGTGGGTGCCCCAGGCAGTGCGCACGCCCAGTGTGAGACTTCCTGATGCCCCATAACCCTGCTGACCTTTGGTATATATCACCAGGTCTCTTCATTTCTGCCGGTTCGTAAGGCCAAACGCCTTCGAGTGTTATCAGCCGTTGAGGCTTCCTTGTCTGCGAATTACCTGACAGGGTTACGGTCCTTTGTCCACATGTGAGCTGCAAATACCTTCTCCTGGTCTGTGACTTGGCTTTTCTCTCTGTTTATGGTGACACTCACTGTTTTTAATGTGAATTATATGTTATTCTGATTTTTAAAGAAATACATATTCACTAGGGATGTTTTGCAAAATACAGGAAAGTACAAAAAAGAAAAACAGTCATCTAAACCCCATGATGATGGTGTGATGACAGGAACAACCTCCACTAATGTTTAGTGACACCGGCTGAGCTCTGGGCCTGTCCCATGCATTTTCTCACCTCGCTGTTGTCCCCGCCAAGCGAGGGGACGGTGTCCACTTCACAGGTGAAACAGGCAGGCTCCGGAAGTCAGGTACCCAGCCAGCCGCCTCCGCCGGGACTGGACACCAGGCAGGGTCAGCCTCGGAGCTGAAGCCCTCCCGTGCGCCACACCATCTTAGAGACCTCGCTCCTTTTAATGCATTTTCCCAGCTTCTTTACTGCAGTGACATATACATCACAGGAACCTTACCATCTTAACCCTGTTTAAGTGCACAGTTCAGTGGTATTAAGTGTGTTCACTTTGCTGTATGAGCACCACCACCACCACCACCATCCAGCTCCAGAGTCTTTTCGGCTTGCAAAGCTGAAGCCCCAGCCATTAGCCGCGGACTCCCCGCCTTTGCTCCCCAGCCCCTGGCAGCCTCCATTCTATTTTGTCTCTGTGGATTTGGCTGCTCCAGGGACCTCAGATCAGTGAAACCAAGCAGTGTTTGTCCTTTTGCGACTGGCTCATTTCATTGAGCATGATGTCCTCAAGGTTCATCCGTGTTGTAGCAGGTGCCAAATGTCCTTCCTTTTTAAGCCTGATAATAGTGCATTGCATGTGTAGACCATATTTTCCTTATCTATTTATCCACTGGTGGAGAGACCCTTGGATTGCTTCCACGTTTTAGCTGTTGTGAATAACACTGCCATGAATGTGGGTGTGCAAACATCATGCTTTTTTTTACATAGTAGAAGTAACACTATGTATATAATCATGCATCTTTCTTCTTTTTCCCGCCTTAACATTAAATTGCACCATGTCACTTAAAGGTCTTCCAAACATCATTTAAAATGTCTATATGACATTCCTTAAACTCCCTTATTTTTATTTTTATTTTTTTT